TGCAGCGTCTGCGACCCTTCTTCGCTTCATAGCGTGATATCGAATTCGCCACTATCATCGACCTTTCGGTATCATGAAAGCAGCACACCACTGTACCAAACAACTGCAATTTCCGCCTTATCTGGTGAGGATATCGTCGACGATAGCCCTCAGGGAATCGGACCTTTCCGAACGGCGAGGTTATCGTCGTCCACAGGACTCGCAGGGGCCCATTCCGCTCACGCCAAGGCGTCTGATGAGAGGGAAGTGTTCATGTGCGACAAAACAGGCGTTAGTTGATTGGAGAGGGAGGGAAGCGCCCTCAACGAGCTTTTCCTGTCCAATGTCCAATTGACTACGTACCAACCACCACGCATCACTTTCAGGGTCGACCCCAAGTGTCCTTTCTGCCCCTGAGAGGGATGCCGCTATCGTTCGGGCCTTTCTCACGCGACGTTCTGCGCAAGACTTGTGCGGGGCAGAGAGGAGCCTCCAGAAGTGAATGGATCGTTGACATGCCTCTTCGTGGCACACACAACAAACACTGCCGTATGTATTTTATTGGCACGCTCTTGAACGCGTGTCGCACAAGTGAGGGGAGGAAGAGTGAGGGAGGGGTTGTAGAAAGGGAGCGGTGACGGGTTGCTGCGCTCTCTCGCTCTCTTCAGGAAGAACAGCAGCACATAGAACAGCAGCCGCAGCAGCAGCAGCAGCAGCAGCGGGAAGGTGAGTGCGCAGTGTATCGGCACCCACGTGGGGTTTCGCAGGGTCCCCCTGAGGCACTTGTAGAAGTAGATGAATGACACCAGGAAGGCGATGCTCAGGTTGCACCCCGTGTTCCACACCTTGTTCGGCACAAAACAAAGTGCAAAAGACGAGGAGCGGGTTATATCAGATGGTGGGAATTGGGGGAGGGGGGGATAGTGGCAGAAGTGCGTTTAGGCATCCATGCACCCTTCATGCACTAGTAAAGCAGACGGTATCGGTCACAACAAGGCTAACCTTGCGCAAAGTGGATGAGGCCGTCCACATCTCGCTGATGAAATGGAAGGACGAAGGCACGCGTCTCTATCAAACCACCTCGGGTATCACTGTCTGAATCTCCTGAGTCTAGCCGCACATACAAGCTTTCACTGCATGAGAATGAGATGGACAGAAGGGAAGGAATTGGGATCGCCTGGATACCGCAGAGACATGACATGGCACTCTCGATCAGCGTAGGTCACGGAAGATAGGTCTGCTACTCCCTGTTGCTTTCGAAAAATTCTCTCGTGTCTCTCTGTCTGTATGTTCGTTTTCTTTCTCACCCTCTCTATTTGTCGAATGTCCATTCGTCTGTTTCTTGCGGGAGGTCCCACGATCGGGGGGCAGCGTGATGCACGGCTGGCATGCTCTTCTTGTGTTTAGGGCCTTACGTCCGTCGGGTAACACAAAAACATTTTCGGAGGCTTCCTAGTCACCTGCTCGCAAGGAGCAAACCCGCGGACCCTCAGGATCCAGAGGAAGGTTCCCCGTGTATTCGACGCTGACACGCCTCCGAACCTGGGAAAACCACGAAACGATTGGAAACAACGCCAGAAATAAACTTGGCACTCCGTTCGCTCTGTCAAGTGATTGATCAGCACGGACAGATGAAGGTAATGGGTAGAGAGATCGGAACGGTTTTTAATGCGAAGACAACAACAATTCCTTGAGCGCGTTGACTGGGAATTTTACACGTGTTTGGAGGTGAGGAGGGTTCGCTCGTGACCATGCACGTGGTATACACGCAGACCACCTCTACATCGCAAACGGTGTCTGACCCGAAGTGTTTCGCCTCTTTCGCCTCCACGATTGGCTCGTGGCTCAGCACGGAGACCACCAACGCCTTGCGTAAGCCGGACCGCAAAAGACGCGATTGCCTTGCTCTGTTCCAAGTCTTGCCAGCACGAAAATGATCGACCGTGACAAGAAGTACCATCTACCTCCGTTTCGTTGTCTCTTCTCGCTGAGCGTCGTCGCTGTCTTGTTCTGTGTGTCTCTCGCGCTACCTCTCTCTCTGTCTGTCTGCCTCTCTCTCCGTGCGTTTCGAAGTTTCTCTCCATGTATATCTCTCTCCCTCTTGCCCAGATGTTGACCCCCCACATGTACACGAGCAGGACGAGGTTGCCTAGACCGCTGTGCTTCTTGGAGGCCGGGTCGTGCCACACATCGTGCCCTAACGAGTCGTCCGCGATCCAGTCCCACATCGCCCACGCCTGCCATCGTTCGTTGCCATCGTCGTTTCCGCACCATGGAATGTCAATCCTGTTCATGGTTGACCCACAAAAATTGTCATGAAAATTGTCCTCGTTTTTTTGCTTCACGTCCAGTGCTTCGAGTGCACCCAGCAAACCAAGAGGCGGACACTGCTTCCAACGCAAAGGGCTCTGGAAATCGATGTCTGTTCGCCAGCTCCTGCGGAAACATCGATGTCTCCACGCCTGAAAACCCGGCATAATGTTTGCTCCGTTCGTTTCATCGCAGTTTGGTGTGCGTGTGCTCAACAAATAGAAACAAAGGTGGACTCAAAATCAGGGTACAGCCGTCGAACGTTTTTTTCCCACCTTGGTGCGCGGTCCCGGTACTGGCGGTAATTACCGCCGTATTTTGGCGTTTATCGGGACCGCCGAACGCATGACCGCCGAAAGACGAAAACCGCTTACCGCCGAAAAAGTACCGCAATATACATCTGTTTTCCTGGTCCCTCTTTTTGTTTCTGTACCATTAGTTGCGTGGTTCTTTTGAGTTCCTGCTTGGGCACGAGCTTTGGCCGAAAAGGGTCAACGACAATTCGTAGCTGCACAGGAGAAGAGACCGAACCAGTCGGTGACGTTAGCTGGTAGACTAAGGTCGCCAGAGTATGCAGCAATCCGGGCTGCGCAGGAGGAGAGGTCTGAGAAGTCGATAGACCTTTACATTTGTTGACAACATCACGAATGGGCATGTTGAGGGCTGGTCTGTGGTTTGTTTGCCGTTCTGCATTATTTTTTTGAACGGAACGGCTTGCCTACTTTATCCTACCGGGTATTTCTTGCGGAGTATCGTCGTCCACACAGTGCATGATTACCACAGGTTCAAGTTTTGAACGTTGATCATCTTGGTTGTGGAAGAAATCACGAACCAAACATTCCGATGGATTCAAGCAGTCCATTTATGCGTGTGTGTATGCATATGTCCAACGTTCACATGGTCGGAAAAGGTGACGCCTTAAGTTTCCGCCAGAAAAACAAGGACCGCTCACCAGGAACATACCGCCATATTCCAATACCGCCGGTGGTTTACCGCCATATTTTTTTGGTGTTACCGGTACCGCCGAAGGCGGTACCGCCATGAATCCAATACCGCCGGGGGATTACCGCCATACTTTGGTGTTAGCCGGAACCGCTGAAGGCGGTACCGCCGTATTCCAATACCGCCGAATTGTTTCCCGCAGTATTCTTGGTAAACACGTTTACCGCCGAAAACAGTACCGCCGTACTGCAAAAACCGCCCCGTGTGTGTCAGCCCAAAGTAAACGGTACTGACGAGGACACTGCTCAAAATCAAATCGTCCGCAAGACCGAGCGAGGCAGTCGATCTGCTGGCGCCATTGTTTCGTGGACAAACAAAACGCCCTCGCAGAACAGAGGAAAGACAGGCTGGCCCGGAAATCGGAAACGCGAGCAACCAAAAAAACAACACCGCGAGCACAAAACACCGGCTACGATGGTCAGCCGGGGGCCGCCGCAGGTGCAGCTGCACCAAACCACCAACAGGTACGTGTAGAGTACTTACCAGGATCACCGTAGCAGTACCGAGGCGGTAACTGAAGTCAAAGCGCCTGGAGTGAGAGCTGGGCGTCTTGAAAGTCAGGGCCGTCCGCGCCACGTCCACGTCGTCGTTGCAGAGCAGCAACGCGTATCGGAGCTTCGCACCTCCTAGCGTGCTGGGTCGTGTGTCAACATGGAGTCGCAAATTCGCACACGAGGGAAGAGAAAGAGCGGTTTAGATTATGCGTATCGCGCCAACGTAGCTGGCAGCGGGTAGGAGGGCGTGACGCTGCAAAAGCGGTCGCACCACACAGGTGTTCCGCCCTCGGTGGCGTTTTGGGAGGGGGGGGCGGGGAGACACGTGGCGTCCTGCGAGAGCACAAGGAGCCATCCCAGTGGAACGCATGGGAACTCTACCCCCCAGGCTGGGCATCAATCCTGGTCGCCAGACGGAGGGCCGGGTCTATTGTATACAATTTGATGTGGTGTTTATTAGCTACATGGGAGTTAGTTGTAGTGGTAATAAAATTGTACTCGGAATATATTATTTTCACTAGCGTTTAGTATCGCCTATACCTAACCCAACGCAGCCCGGTTTTTACATGGGTTTTAGAATGGGTCACTATGGCCAAAAGGATACATCAATATGGCCAAACTTGAACCACTACTGTACCCAAGTATTGTATAAGCATGGGTTTTAGAATGCCATACAAAACACCACCGAATGTAAGGCCCGCTGAACTGAACAACCGTTGCAACATCCTGTCTGCCCATAAAAAACAGGCGTACATACATTCCCGTTAAAGTTGCCGGCCGAGAACAGGGGCTGCTCGAGCAGCCAGACCTCCATCGCCTTCTCCTTCGACAGTGCACCCGGCCTTCCCTCCCTGATGATCTCCAGCACCGCCGCCGCCGCAGCCACCGACCCCCGGTCATCTTGGCGGCCGACCACGGCGGTCTCGGTCTCGGTCTCTGGAGGAGCACCGACTATCTCCGCTGCCCCGGCACGACGGAGGTGCAGTTCCAGTCCCATCATCCGCACCAAGGCGCCATAGTTGATCATCTGCAAGCACATCGCCTTTCGTTTTTGCCGGGGGTGGGTGGGGGGGGGAGAGCGGCGGCGGCAGCGGCGACAGCAGCCGCGGCAGCAGCAGCAGCGGGGCCACGAGAGTCCGCGGGCGGAGATCGGCCTCGAGCGCGATGGCGGGCACGACGCCGTCTTCACAGCAGCGCGAGGGTGGCAACGGGGGGGTCTCCGGCTGGGTCCGTCCTCTTCAAGCACCCCCTGGCCCATCTCTGCAGTAGGGGAGCGAGCGGTGGTGATGGTGACGACGTGGGCGGTGGCATGGGCTTCATGGCCAACACCAGCGGCGACAAAAGCTTGACCACCGAAGACCCGTACGTGGTGGCCTCCCTCAAGAGAGCCATCGTCGAGCTGTACGACACCTGCCACCGGCTTCTGTCGTTCAAGGTGGGCGAAGCCGGGGTTGCTTGTTGCTGCTTTTTGCTCTCAAATTGCTGCACGATCGACGGTGCGTTATACTTGTCGAGGAGGTATGAGGCTCCGATCCGTGAGAGGCCGTCCTAAAATACCTGGGCGGTGGTTGTTCTTCCCCCGCGTCAGGGGGGTAGGTAGCGCTGGAACCCCCCTGTCGTACGGTACGTCCTCAAGTGTGTTCTGTGAGTGCGTTTTAGCTTCCCCTAGGGCACGGATGACTTTGCGTTGCTGGCCGTTCTGTTCACATTGCACCCGAGAAGTGTTTATCGGGGGCTCGTGATGCCGGACAGCCTCCCCTGGGTTGGGAACATGCCTGAGACTGATGCGCTGACGTTTTGCCCCATTTAGTGTAGCATCTCTTGTGTGCAGCGCTCGTGTTACGTTGCAGCACACACCAGAGAGTGTTGTTTTGCGTGTGTTTGTTTTGCTGATTTACTGCTGCTGCACCTGTTTTGCGACACGGCGGTGTACTTCTATTCTCGCTTCCACTTCCACACATCCTTGTCCATCAAACTGTACGCAGCGTGACACAATACTTGACCTTATAGCCCTGCACAGCAGTTCGTTGGGTAACGACAACGTTGTCCCTGGTTGCTCATCGCTCCGGGCGATAGCTACAGCAGTAGCTGCGCGGAGGTATCATAGGTCGACATCAGCGTACCTAGCATCCCTACTGTAGCGGCACATGATGTGCAGCAGTGAGTTGCAGCAGGAGTAGTAGTAGGCCCTCTATAAGGCGGGTGCCGTGTTAGGGCGGGTGAATCGGTCTGGGCGCATGCCCGCCTTGAGGGCCTATGAAGACAACTGCTTGAAGTGGAAAGCTAAAATCGACGGCGTGATAATGCACCTAACTTACTCTTTTATGTACTCACCTTTGTCGCCCTGCTGTCCCTCATCATCATCGCTACAATCGACACGCAAGTACACTTTGCGGCCCATCATGCGTTCCACAGAATCCACCGAGGGTTCCCGGAGCTCTCTGTCCATGCCTTCGGGTGCACTGCTGCTGCGATCATGCACAGCAAGCACGGCCTACAGCACAGGAGGTTGAACATCGCAGGTGGTGGATCGGCCGCCGAGAGATGCGGGGGGATTCAGCATTCAGCACCTAAAGTGAACTACTTAACCTAAACCACGCGGCGAAAGGAACCGGTCCACCCTGCTGCCTGCCGCCATAGGTACACGCGCACAGCGCAAACCTTGCAGCGAGGACAGCAGGCGGGAAGGAGGCCTAGTATGATAGGTGCATACTGCTGTACAAGTCTCTGAGGGGGCTCGCAGATGGCGATTCCGCCGGTGGGTACGGCGGTGGGTGTCTCATTTCTCCGCACACCAGCTGTCGCCCACCATCTGCCACCCCTTCCCCCTTCCTTCTTCACATATGCATAACCCAAACATCAAACAAGGGGGAGGACTTGCCGAAGCTCTGGTCCAAAGACTTTGTGTGGTGGCATTGAAAACGAGAGGAGCGTGATACTGTAAGCGGGATACCACTACTCCCCCAGCGACCCCGCTTTTATTCCTTCGTCGGTGAGTTCCGATTTTGTACCACAGTTGGTGCGTGCCTTCTTTTCATACAAGTGCCTAGACAACGTTCTGTCCGCACGTTTTGGGCTTCCATGTGTTGGGTTCAAAATGTTACACGTCCTGTTTGCACGAGGCGTGCTCACGTGTTCATTCCATCTGGAAAGTATGCCGCGGCCAGCTGTACTACGTATTTCCCCTCCCAACTACCGACAAGCGCTCTGTGTGAGCGTTTACAAACTCGCTGTCCGCGTCCCCGCTGCTCTCTTAGTTCCAACCCAATGTGCGAGAAAAACAAAACCCAACAAACGGAATGGGCTACATACATCATCCACGTGCGCACGTGTCCGCGGGAACGCGGGAAGCGCATGCTACAAAGACGCATGGACGGTCCACCACGGGAAGCGCGTGCTACTTGTCCGAACGAGAGCGTGTTCTCACGCATTTCATCACCGTCCATCGCACTGTTCACAGCAGTGCACAGACCGCTGTAGCAGGGCATCCTTTGCACGTTCGGTACAAACTCTAGGTGGCACCACTTTCTCAATTCTCCCGCGTTCCACCTCTTGATGAAGTCTAAGTGGCCACAACTGGTGACTGGAGATGACCTGTACTTGACTCCATACCGCAGGCAGGTTGGCGGGGGTGTTGTCGGAGATGAAACTTCTGTAGCTGTGTCGCCAAATCAACTCCGTGCAGGTTCCCTGAGCAATGGCTTCCACGGACCGCGAAGCACTGATCACCCTGTTTCGTTCGGCCGGCGGGGCTCGATGGTTTCGAAGAAACAACTGGCTCACAAGTGATGGCCTAGCGACGTGGTATGGAGTCGAGGTGAACGACCAGGGCCGAGTGGTCAAGCTTCGCGTGGATGCGAACAATCTCCGAGGTTAGTTCTTCGGCATTTGCTGCTTGCACGTGCTTCCCTCTAGAGATGAACAAATGTGCTTGACAATCCTTACGAATTCGTGGAGTAACACAAGGCATCCCTGCGGACTGGAGTATCAAGAGAGCACCGCACCAATGGGTAAGAACAAGCAGGAAGCTAACAGCAGAGAAAAAAGGCATAGACNTGTTTGCCATCGGGGTTGGGTTTTTGTCGCTTGGCAACGACGTTGTAAAACAAGCCAATTCACTTCGTGAACTCGGCAACCAGGTTACCGTTTTCTTTTTTTTTACCTGTTTCTTTTTTTGGCGGAAACAATAATGGTGGCCGAGTAGATCATGTTGTGCGGGGTGGAGAACCCTCACTCCGCGCAAGGGGGATGATCGCAC